GAGGAGGGAGGAGGAGGAGGAGGAGGGTTACCGCTCCTCTAGGAGGAGGATGGCGACGACGGTCCCTAGATCAGGCTTTATCCCCCTTCGGGGCTTTGCATACTGCTCTCATAAACTGGGCGCCGGCGGGCGGGGCTGGGCGCAAAGCGCGTACCGTACCTTCTTCTCTGCCGCCCCCACTCCCTCTCCCTCCCTCCCTCTCTCTCTTTTCCCACTCTCTTTCTCTCCCTTGACTCCTCCGCGTGATTCACAGACAGACTGGCCTCGCCGAGCAGGACGGGGAGCAGCATGCCGTTGGTGGCGGCATTACGCGGGACTAATTTGCGCGCGCCAGGAGAGAGAGAGAGAGAAAGATGGGATGGGATGGGCGTCTCCAGGTATCATGTCGTCGCGAGCTGGTTTTGTAAGAGAACGGTTTGCCCTTCCTTTGCGGCAGCATCTATAGCTCCAGGTGGGAGGAGGAGACGTTGGAGTGGCGGGCGGCGGCAGCGCTGCTGGAGGCTTCCCTTTGGAGCAGCGTGGCGTCGTCAGGGATCACTCATTCACAAACCAGAGCTTCTGCTGGCTGCAGCTGCTGCTGCCTCTCTGTTTCTGTTGCTGCTCGCGGAGACGATGCCCCCTCCCCTTTCCCTCGTAATTGAGGGCTCTTTATTTCGGCTTGTGCAGAGGGGCGGATTAGAGATGTAAATGTAACACATTTGCAAGTATTAGTACCCCCAATTAGAAAGATGTCTTTTTTTCCCTTTTTTTTTTTTGACACCACAGAGTTTTTTTCAGAATTGTATATACACTTCGGCTGTTCTCTCCGCGAGCAAGTTACAGTAGTATTGAGGTGTAAAATAAAATTGTGTGCGCGATTTTTACCCCCCCCCCCCGCCCTCTTTATCCCATTTTGTTTCTGGTCAAAATAAACCACCGCCAATCTTACAAAACGCTTATTGCCAATAACATATTACTTTTGTATTTCATGAGAAATAAGCAAACACAAAATAGGATAAGACAATATTGAACAAATAAAGCCACAATTTAAGGCTCACTAGATGCCTTCAATTTAACATTTCATATGATGCACAGGAAAAAAAATCGAAGGTATTTTCAAACGTGTGCGTTTGAAGATGTATCGCTGGAGATAGCTAATGTGATTAAATTCTCTTTTTCACTCAGAACGCTCACAGAAAGTTTCTTCTATGTGCATTCTAAGGTGAATGCGAAGGTTACCACCTTTTGTAAATTTCTTGTTGCACACAGTACACTTGAATGGTCTTTCTCCTGTGTGAGTCAGGGAATGTTGACGTAGATTTTCATCTGTAGCAAATACTTTGCTGCACATAGAACACTCGAAGAGCTTTTTGCCAGTGTGGGTTTGGAAATGTCTACGTAGCTTATCGGAGAATGCAAATTTCTTGTTGCACACGGAACACTCAAAGCTTTTTTCTCCTGTGTGCACACTGAGGTGTCTTCGAAGATTAGAGCTGAATGTAAATTTCTTGTCGCACATCGCACACTCCAGGGCCAGGCGTCCTTCCACTGTGTGCGTTTGGAGATGTAGGCGAAGGTAACTACTTGAACTAAATTTCTTGTTGCACACAGGACACTCAAAGGGTTTTTCTCCTGTGTGCGTTCGGATATGTACACGGAGGTTACTACTTGTCGCAAATTTCTTGTTGCACGCAGAACATTCGTAGGGCCTTTCGCCTGTGTGCGTTCGGAGATGTACACGAACCTCAGTACTTGTCGCAAATTTCTTGTTGCACACAGGACACTCGAGGGGCATTTCGCCTGTGTGAGTCCGTAAATGGTGACGTAGATTAGAATCAATCGAAAATTTCTTGTTGCACACAGAACACTCGAAGGGTCTCTCGCCTGTGTGTGTTTGGAGATGATTGCGAAGGTGACCATTTCTCCCAAATTTCTTGTTGCACAGAAAACACTCGAAGGATCTTTCTGATGTGTGCGTCCGGAAATGTTCACGTAGATTAGCACTAGTCGCAAATTTCTTGTTGCACAGAGAACACCCGAAGGGCCTTTCGCCAGTGTGCGTTCGGAGATGTACACGAACCTCACTACTTGTCGCAAATTTCTTGTTGCACACAGGACACTCGAAGGGCCTTTCGCCTGTGTGCGTTGCGAGATGTAAGCGAAGGTGACCATTTCTCCCAAATTTCTTGTTGCACAGACAACACTCGAAGGGCCTTTCGCCAGTGTGCGTTGCGAGATGTTGGCGGAGGTTACCATTGAGCGAAAACTTTTTTTGGCCCACAGAACATTCGAAGGGCTGTTCTCCTGTGTGAGTTCTGAGATGGCTTCGGAGAGAAAAATCAGTCCTACATTTGATGTTGCACACCGGACACTCCAAGGGCATTTTTGCTGTGTCCATGACAAGTTTATTTATCTCACTAACCTCACTTGGCGAATTTCCGAATGTCTTGGAACGTTTTGTCGGGTCGCAGTTTCTGTAAAATGTAGACTTATTAATTCAATTTTAAGGATTCTCGATTCTCCTACACATATGCCTTTATTACTGTTTATATCAATGCATACCTGTACAGTTCCAGCTCGATACGTTTACATACGTTGCGTGGTTGCTCTTGCTGCTCTGACCCGGCCGGTGGAGGCACCTCGACTCGACCATGGAGAGACTGACGAGACGACTCACCACCTGCCACCTGCCACCCAGGACAGGGTTGCCGAGCGCACAGCTGCCAGGTCGAGCCCAGGAGGGTAGGGAGCCGGGCCCGACTCGGGCTCCGGAATCACCCGAGTGCTAAGTGCGCCCAAGGGCCAAGGCCGCTCAGCCAATGAAATATCCCGGAATCGCCCGCGTTCTTTCAAAATCGTCCCGAATCGTCCGGCTGGATTTCCCGCGTTCACCGGACTCGTGTCTTAAGCCCCCCCCCCCCCAAACCTCCCTCGTAGCGTAAATGCCCGAATTCGACCGGGGCATTCCAAAATCACCCAGCAGTCGGCCAGGATTTTCCTGGAATCGTGGCACCGGGAAAGAACTACTACGCATATTTAACTTGCAAGACACCATGAGATTATTGTTCTAAAAATACATGTTCTTTTGTCGTGCGAGTATAGGATTTTGCACTGTCGGCGCAAACCAGCGCAAACGGTTTAACTTACGAGGATGTTTGTTCACAATGTACTACGACCGGCGCAACTCCAACTATTGGGCGAGCAGGGAAATAATGAATACGAGCGATACGAGTTCTGTCGCGTGAAGTCACGCGTGTAAACACGTTAGGGGGGGGGGTGGCAAGGTAAAAGCGGGGCGGTAAATATTAGGGGTGTGAGGGATGAGCGCTATAAATAATTTGAGGTACATTAAATGCTCGTGTTATTCATTGTCATGGCGATTGCCGCCACCAGGTGCCATGGGGCGAGCCATGAGGCTGGCCCCGCTCCGCCGCCC